GTGTGTGTGTGTGTGTGTGTGTGTGTGTGTGTGTTTGATACAGAGTCTCACTATGTCGCCCTGGGTAGAGTGTGGTAGCATCACAGCTCACAGCAATCTCTAACTCTTGGGCTTAAGCAATTCTCCTGCCTTAGCCTCCCAAGTAGCTGGGACTACAGATGCCTGCCACAATGCCCAGCTATTTTTTGGTTGCAGTTGTCATTGTTGTTTTAGCTGGGATTGAACCTGCCAGGTTCAGTGTATGTGGCTGGCTCTGTAACCGCTGTGCTAAGGGGACTGAGCCTCCCTTGTGGTTTTGACAACAAAAACAGTTATGTGACCCTACACAAGTCAACTCCTGACCTTTTATTTCTTTATCTCTGAAATGAAGAGGATGTTTTGGGTTATTCTAAAATCTCTTCCAGGTTTATAATTTTTTTGAGACAGAATCTCACTTTGTTAACTGGGTGGAGTGCTGTGGCATCATAGCTCACAGCAACCTCACATTCCTGGGCTCAAGCCATCCTCTTGCCCCAGTCTCCCGACTAGCTGGAACTATAGGCACCTGCCACAATGCCCACCTAGTTTTTCTCTTCTTGGTAGAGACAGGGTCTTGCTCTTGCTCAGGCTGGTCTCAAATTCCTGATGTTCCATCCACCTGCCTCGGCCTTCCAGAGGGCTAGGATTACAAGTGTGAGCCGCTGTTCCTGGCCTACACATATATTTTTCTATTACATATAAGGACTTCTGTAAAAGGCACAAATGAAGGAATAAAAACATGAACGTTTTTTTTCATTAGCAAATATTGTACAGGAAAAGTTTTTGAGAGAGACTTTTAAAAGGCTGAAACTGTTTGGTGTTTTTTTGTAGCAAAAATATGAACTCCTCCATGCTATCTCTGCAATGATAAAGAAGTTACTGAAGTTTAAAAGGAAGTTGTACCCCGTGTCACTTGGATACTGAAATGTGATTACTCATGGGCTACAATGTCAAGTTGAATGAATATTTATATAATAAGGAAATTCTATGTCTCTCTCTCTCTCTTTTTTTTTTGTAGAGACAGAGTCTCACTTTTTCACCCTCGGTAGAGTGCAGTGGAGTCGCTCCAGCAACTTCCAACTCCTGGGCTTAGGCGATTCTTCTGCCTCAGCCTCCCAAGTAGTTGGGACTATAGGCGCCTGCCACAACGCCTGGCTATATGTCTCTTATTATATTGAACTGATGACATAATAACACAAGGTCTAACAATGAGTATGGGGTTGGGCATATGGAGGCAGAAGTAACATAATTGAGGGAAAAATCATTGAATAAAATTACAAGTGGTTTGTTAAATATCACTGAGGATCTTCCCACTTGCTCCTAAGGCTAAAATATGTGGTTGGCTGGTTCAATTACTTGCATCTCCATGACCATTAGCATTCTGATTCTGATTCTGAGGTTACTGGTGAAGGAGGCAGAGAGGCAATGAGCGTGAATATGTGTGGTGGTGGTGGTGTATGTCTGTGTGTTTGGGGAACGGGTGGGTGTTGCAGGAGGCATCTATAATTTCATCTAGTCATCATTCTTTTCCCTTTGTTAACAACACTGTAATTTTCCTTTCCTTTTCCCTTCCTCTCAGTCTCTGTGGTTTGGGTGTATACGAAGCCTTTTTCAGATACAAGCAAATGGCCCAGGCCTGGCAGTGTGCGTTCATCCTTTGGTTACAATGGTTAGTTTCATTGGCTCCAAGTGGGTCAGTTGAGGCCCATTCTTTGTCTTGCTGTCTTATTGATGGGATCAGTTGCTAAAGAGGTTGGGTATTTGCTGAGAGATGTAAGATGTGTTGCTTCTTAGAGAATATAGAACCAGTGCAGTGAAAGCCCAGTGAAGATATGGAGAGAAACTGAGTCTGGATACTCTTTGAGCATTTGGAGGAAAGAAAAGATATTTAAAAACATGTATTTTTCCAGCTCTACTTTTGGGATTTATAAACATATAAGCCAATAAATTCCAATCCCCTCAGATGTAGGTTTTATTAAGTCAGTTTGAGTTGTGTGCTTGTCATATCCAACTATCCTGACTTTACCCTACTCACTGCTAACCTCCTTTCACATCTCGAGGTTTGGTTCACACAGGACCAAGCTGCCTGCTTTTTATAGAACCCACGGCTTATTTCCTCTCCATCTGGTAGCATAAGTTGCTCCAACTTTTTACATATTTTCTTGCTGCCCTCTTCCTCTATAAGTACAACACAGACGCTTGTTTCACAGGGGCAGGAGGGGAAGAACTGAGATGTTCAGGTCTAGTCTCAGGCCAGTGATGACGCATGCAAGTGCTTTTGTGTGCATTAGAAAATGCCACTTCCTCTGCCTGGTGCTAGGACCACTGCTTGGAGACCAGGCTTGATCTTATCTCCAAATTGCCCGCCCACTTCCACCTCAGCCAAAGGACACAGCATAGGGTACAGACAGCATACCACTATGTTGAGTCCCCACAGTATTGAAGAAGTAAGGGTTGTAGCCATGAGGTAGAAAAACAAACCTGTGGACAGCAGCAGAGCTTTTGTAGCTCACATCCATTGTTCCATGATCTATTCCCAAAGTGGTAACAGTGGCTGATGCTGTGGGCCTCCTGGGCATGCTATCTCAAGGCTGTGGTCTCAGCAATTATCAAAAATGTTGCTGATAGCTGGAGAAATAATATCACTTATCATTTGAAAGCTGCATTTCCGCTATCATTATATCTTAAGGTGGTATCTTTCCTGGAACAACTTAACTGAGTTCAGTTTATCCTTGCAGCCATTTTCATTCCTTCCTCCCTTCCTTCCTTTTCTTTCTTTCCCTCCCTCTTTCCATACTTTCTCAGAGAGAGAGAGGAAGAGAGAGAAAGCTGAGGGTCTCACTCTGCTGTGTAGGCTAGAGCGGTAGGATCCTCAAGCAGGGTCCTTAAACTTTTTAAACAGGGGGCCAGTTCACTGTCCCTCAGACCGCTGGAGGGCTGGAATGGGGGCCCCCGGGAACAGTCGGCTGCTAATCAGGACAGGCAGCGGCGGCAAAAACACCAGGCCCGCCGGATAAATGTCCTAGGCCGGCTGCATGGGGCCTGCGGGCCATAGTTTGAGGACGCCTGGTTCATAGCAACCTCCAACACCTGGGCTTCAGAGATCTTCCCACCTTGGCCTCCCAAAGTGTTAGGATTACAGGAGTGTACCACCACTCCTGACCCTACATCAAGTATTTGTTGTTGAAAGTCAATGGTTCTAGAAATCTACATTGGAAAGCTACCTGGAAATTGTCCTTTGGAAGAGAACACAGCACCAGGTAAAGCAGGGCGTGTGGCAAATCTCCTATGCCATACAGCAAGGGAGAGTGCTAGCGACGAAAATAATTTTATGGTTTGGGGTCACTACAACATGAGGAATTGTATTAAAGGGTTGCGGTGCTAGGAAGGTTGAGAACCACCAGTCTAGGAGCTCCAGCTGGTCTTCAGATGGTTCTGTCTCCAGCGCGCCTTGGTAAGACCCTCTTCCCTGTGTTGGAGGTGAAAACTAACCAGGTAAGAAAAGCGACCAGCCTCAGGAAATGCAATGTCTCGTGGCCAGTGGCCAGTGGCATGCATAGACTTTGAGGGGGAATGGGGACAGAAAGACAAGACCCAAAAAGGAGTGTGGGCGGTTAGGGGCAGGGGCGCAGGCCAGCAGCGAGGGTGCACTCGTCCTACGCTCTGTGCCTCTGGCCAGGCGGAGGGCAGACCCGCCCTGAGTTGGGGGCGTCTGGGAAGCAGAGCGCCAGGGCAGTTCGGGGGTGGCCCCGGGACCTGTCGGTCTCGCCTTGCCCGCCCCCTCTTCGCCGGCCGCCCCCTCCCGCCGGCAGCGGGGTGGCGCCTTTAAGAGGCAGCCCCGCCGGGCCGGGGGCGGGAACCCGGGAGCGCGAGGCGGCGGCGCCGGCCGGCGATGCTCCTCACTTTCTGCTCCAGCCCCCCCCGCCGCCGCCGCCGCCACCGCCTCCTCGTCGCCGTCCTCCTGGTCTGCCTGGAAGCGTTGCTCTCTGCGGCGGAGGAGAGAAGTGCTATGTCAGGAAAGTTCCGGGAGGGACTGGAAGGGGCCGCCCTCCCCGCGCTCTCCCGCGGGCGCCCGCCCGCCGCCCTTTGTATGAGGTGAGACTCGGGGTCCTCGGCCCGGGGACAGGTAGCAGCCGCGGGTGGGGAGCGCCGCAGCGACCGCGGCGTGGGCGGCAGCGTGCGGTTTGGCGGAGTGCGTGGGTGAAAGAGGCTGGCGAGACTGAAGTTGTGCCGGAGAAGCTGGGCTTTTCGGGCAGGCTTTCGCAGCTGGACTGGAGTTACCTCAGCCGGCACCACCCGGCGGGGCCCCGGGGTCTCCCGTGCTGCCTCGCCTCCCGACGCCCGGCCCCGGCCCCTGCCCACCCGCCCGCCCACCCGGGCGGCGGGCCTTCTAGGAAACCCGCGGCTGCAGATGGGCACCCAGCCGGGGTTCCCCGCCGGCTGTGCTCGGAAGGCTGAGCGCTGCTCGGAGTGAGCCGGAGGGATGGAACCGTCCTGAAGCTCGCCGCCGCGCTCTCGCCGCTCTCGCGGGCTGACCCTGGCCGTGACTGCCCGACTGGAGGGCTCCTGGGAGCGCCGACGGGGCTGAGCGGTGCCTCCTGCGGGTGCTGGGGCTCGCGCCCCTGCAGCCTGGGCGCTTCTCACCGTCACCCAGATTTTAGTTCTGCCTCTTCTCTTCCGCCCCTTTTTGGGAACATGGATTTTATTTTTTTGGAAGAAAAAATATTCTGGAGGCTCAGGGTGCTTACAAAACCCCTAACAGCATATTTTGAAAAAATTTCCCGAAGGCTGGCTCCAGTTTTCGAAGTGACCGTTTAGTCTTTGATGAAATATGTAGCCTCAGTCTTAACACTTAATGAAATGCAGGTATCCTTGTAGTAGGATGTAGTTGTTTAGTGAGTTAGGATGAGGTTTTAACCGTATTCTTTTCTCTTGGTTTATTGGTGAATTTGTTTTAAATTACGCCTTAGAGTAAGAAGGCTCCAACTAATTTTAGGAGCAGTATCTCTAAGAATCAAATAAACCGTGATGTTTCTTGCACAATCTAACTTTGCTTCAGGCGTTTTAATCCATTTATGAGGTATGTAATATGTGTAGTCATTTGATGAAACCTAACATATAAGTACATTTATTGCACAAATGAGTCAATTTTTTTTTTCATGTGTTCTGTGGGGGAAGGAAGCCTCATTTTTTTCGCACCCCCAGGTCTCTGCCCCTCCATAAAGTATTCCTATTTCTGTCTTTTCTGTTAACATGGTGTACATCTGATGTCAGTTACACAAATGGAAGGTACTGATGAAAAATCCCTGTGGTTTCAGTGTTGCATCGCTCAGATTTTAGTGACATGACATAATGATCATCCGGATCATTTTAAACAGTAAAAATAGAATGTAGGAACTTATTTAAAGGAAAGAATGTCATGAAGTATTTAAAGTAAATGTACATGCTTTACATGTAATTTTCATATGTGAAAAATATATTACCGAGATAGACGGGAGATACTGTAGGAAACGTCTTATTTGCAATGAGGAAGTTTTCAAAGAAAGTCATTCCAGAGTAATCATTAATCATTAATATTGCATAATTTTGTTATAAACGCTTTCATCTCTTGATTACAGTTTTGTCATTTTGCTGTCAAATATACCAGAACTGAAACCATTTTTTTTTTAAAGAGGTGAGGTTCTTAAAAAAGAACTTACCATCTCAAGCATTTTCTGAAAATTTGCAGCAAACTGAACATTCTTGGAGAAAAATTTGTATAGAAAAGTCACATACTGGGCGGTGCCTGTGGCTCAGTGAGTAGGGTGCCTGTGGCTCAGTGAGTAGGGTGCCTACTCCATATACCAAGAGTGGCAGGTTTGAACCCAGCCCTGGCCAAACTGCAACAAAAAATAGCTGGGTGTTGTGGTGGATGCCTATAGTCCCAGCTACTTGGGAGGCTCAGGCAAGAGAATTGCCTTGCCCAAGAGTAGGAGGTTGCTGTGAGCTGTGTCATCACTGCACTCTACTGAGGGTGACAAAGTGAGACTCTGTCTCTAAAAAAAGTCACATACTGAAAACCCTAACTGCAGTTACCGTTTTAACTTAAATTTGTTGGACTTCAGACAAGAAAGTAAGAATTTAGGGTTTTAAGGTGGATCTGGCTTAGTTCCTAGAATTATTTTTTCTTTTTTTGGCAGTTTTTGGCGGGGGCTGGGTTTGAACCCGCCACCTCCAGCATATGGGGCCAGTGCCCTACCTACTCCTTTGAGCCACAGTTGCTGCCCTTTTTTTTTTTTTTTTTTGAAACAGAGTGTTACTTTGTCACCCTTGGTAGAGGGCCCTGGTAGCCCTGCTAACAGCAACCTCAAACTCTTGGGCTTAAAGAATTCTCTTGCCTCAGCCTCCCACGTAGCTGGGTCTACGGGTACCCACCACAGTGCTCGACTATTTTTCTTATTGTTGTTGTAGTTGTCATTGTTTAGCAGACCTGGCCCCAGTTCAAACCCATCAGCCCCAGTGTAAGTGGCTGGCGCCCTAACCACTTAGCTACAGGTGTGGAGCCCCTAGAATGGTATCGATTAAGTGGAATTACCTTGACATTTTGTATATGGTATATTTGATTTGGGATGATTGTGTGAATAATTTTTTTTGAAGCTGTATATATATATATGTTTTGGACACGCATACATACATATGGATTAATATATGTATATGTCCATGTCACACATTTATTTACATCTTTAAGTCTGTAGGTAGACACATACATAACATATGCACCCTCACACACATATGTATATATATTTTTATAGTGGGGAAAACCATTAAGGGACTTGATAGTACATGGGTACTAAGAATAGCAGGTATAAAAGATCAGCAGCTAAAAATAGTTCTTGTTAGGGCTTGTCATCTTATCAGCACTTTTGTAGATATCAGGTTAAGGTAAAAAATACTGTTTTCCAGTAAGTTCCTAAACTTTTCCCAGGCTTGGAGTAGGGAGCCATATGCCAGTGATTCTAACCACATATTTATCTATTAAAATGTACTGAAGTACCCTACTCACTGTTAGGATTCAACCAAGCATTTCTTAAATTTCAGTAATTTATCTTCAGTAGGCAAATTCTAGGTAAAATTTAGCTGGTCAGTATAGTGAGTTCTTCTTTGAACCTTTCAAAAATTACCTTCATAGCATTTTCCATAGGTATGTGGACAGTAGACTTAAAGGCCATGAGAGGCAAATCTTAGGAGATGTGAAGGGATGTCTTTAGCATTTGATTTGAGAGAGGATCCCATTAATGGTTGGGAAAATAATACCTATAAATACACTGTTCCATTCGCTACAAGCAAAACTGTCCACTCACCTTGGTAATATTTGTTATCACATTTCACAGCTGAAGCCGCTGCATTTCAGCATATGTATGAAAATTAAAAATGAAATGAGCTATGTGACTTTCCTTTAATTTGCTAGGTATTTGCCAGAAGTGGGTTTGTATTTTCTGTAAGTGCCCTTTGCTTTTTTGCTCATGGCATTTTTTCCTTTTTTCTTCTTTTTTGTAAATGACATGTATACTAGGATGAATTCTTAGTGTTTTTTTTTTTTTCTTTTTGTAGAGACAGAGTTTTACTTTATTACCTTTGGTAGAGTGCTGTGGCATCACACAGCTCACAGCAACCTCCAACTCCTGGGCTTAGGTGATTCCCTTGCCTCAGCCTCCTGAGTAGCTGGGACCCCAGGCGCCCACCACAACGCCCAGCTTTTTTGTTGCAGTTTGGCTGGGGCCAGGTTTGAACCAGCCACTCTCAGGTATATGGGGCCGGTGCCCTGCCCACTGAGCCAGAGGCGCCACCCTTAGTGTTTTCTTAAAAACACATTAATGAGTTTCATAGAGCTTATGTTGTGTGTCTTCAACTTTCAAAACATAACATTTGAGATGTTTGACTGTGAGCCTGAGATCATAGCTTTCAGAGCTGACAGGATGTTAGTCAATTATAGTTCCAGTATTGTGGGAATTTTCTGTTTTAAGGTCAGATGTGTCCTTAACTTGAACTGGATGATCCGCAAAATAGGTTCTTTTGTAACCACAAAACATGGAGAACATCCCAAATAATTTGCAGTGTGGCAGCCCAACATGCTTTAGTGTTTGGTTGGCTTGAGGCAGTGTGCCATGCTTGTAAAAAAATGGTTTCTGAAGCTGACGGCAAAGCTGTTTCAGTCTTTGAGTTTGACACATAGAACAAAATGCCTTTTAACCTCTATATCAGTAAATATGGACAGGATTGGTACAAGTAATTTGTGCCCATTTCTAGAAATTCTAGCCTAATATACAGGAAAGATCATTTGTGTTTGTTATAAATGTAATGAAGAGTTAGAAAGTTCAGGTTTTAACACAGCTCTCAGGTCTTAGGCAAGAATGTACATTTGCTGTTAGGTGGAGAATCTCGTGAACACCTATTGAAATTAATAATAGCACTGGTTTTTTTTTTTTTTTTGACACCGAGTCTCACTATATTGCCCTCAGTAGAGTGCCTTCGTGTTACAGCTCACAGCAACCTCCAACTCTTGGGCTTAAACGATTCTCTTGCCTCAGTCTCCCAAGTAGCTGGCACTACAGGCGCCTGCCATAAAGCCCAACCATTTTTTTGTTGCAGTTGTCATTTTTGTTTAGCAGGCCCAGGCCGGGTTTGAACCTGCCAACCTTGATGTATGTGGCTGGCACCCTATCCACTGAGCTATGGGCGCTATCAATAATGGCACTGTTATTAGTATTTTTTTTATGATAAGGCTAAAAAAAATTACATCCTTTCAGGTCCAATTTAGATTAAAAATTTCACCAGTCACATACTGTACCAATCATCTGGTGTATATGTTAATTGATTCTTAGATAATTTTCACCTGAAACTTTTATGTATCTTAGTCACAAGCTTTAAATACCTTTTAGGGTTTTTGGCAAAGCTTACTGGTTAACTTCTTTCTTTCAGTTGACTTAGTTCAGTCTACACTATTAAAGCATTTGAAAAGTATTTGAGACTAATTCTTTTCTGTGGAAACTTCTAAGGATCTGCTTGGGGATGTTAGTGCAAAAGGGACATGATTTTTATACTCTAGCTGTTACTTT